ATAGGAGCCTCCCACACTGCTAGCAACAACACACCAAGAACTGCTCCTGCAGCCTGCATGGATGATACCCAGGCAAACAGGGTCTGGAGTGGACCTCCAGCAAATCAACAGACCTTGCAGCTGAGGGAACCTGACTGCTAAAAGAAAATTAACAAAATGAAAGGATATCCACACCAAAACCCCATCTGTACATCACCATCATCAAAGACCAAAGGTAGATAAAACCACAAAGATGGGGAGAAACCAGAGCAGAAAAGCTGAAAATTTAAAATCAGAGCACCTCTTCCCTCCAAAGGAACGCAACTCCGCCAGCAGGAACAAACTGACGGAGAATGACGATAAGATGAGAGAAGCAAGTGCTTCAGACGATCGGCACAACAAACTTCTCCGAGGTAAAGAGGATGCTCGAATCCATTGCAAAGACGTTAAAAACCTTTAAAAAAACAGTAGATGAATGGCTAACTAGAATAAACAGCGTAAAGAAGACCTTAAATGACCTGATGGAGCTGGTGCCATGGCACCTAGAACTATGATGCATACACTAGTTTCAGTAATAATCTAATCAAGTGGAAGAAAGGGTATCAGTGATTGAAGACCAAATGAATGAAATGAAGAAAGAAGAGAAGCTTAGAGAAAAAGGAGGAAAGAAATGAACAAAGCCTCCAAGAAATATGAATATGAGAAGACCAAATCTCCGTCTCACTGGTGTACCTGAAAGTGATGGGGAAGATGGAACTGGGTTGGAAAACACCTTTCAGGATATCCATAGTGAACTCCCAACCTAGCAAGGCAGGACAAATATTCAAATTCAGCAAATACAGACAACGCCACAAAGATACTCCTCGAGAAGAGCAACTCCAAGACACATAATTGTCAGATTCACCAAAGTTGAAATGAAGAAAAATGTTATGGCAGCCAGAGAAAGTTGTCTGGTTACACACAAAGAAGCCCATCAGATTAACAGAGACCTCTTGGCAAAACTCTATGTTGTAGAAGACAGTGGTTTTCAATATTCAACATTCTTAAATAATTTTCAACCCAGAATTTCATATCCAGCCAAACTAAGCTTCATAAGTGAAGGAGAAATAAAACTTTTACAGATGAAGCAAATGCTGAGAGATTTTTTTATCACCACTCAGGTTTACCTTACAAGAGCTCCTGAAGGAAGCACTAAACATAGAAAGGAACAACCAACCACTGCAAAAATATGCCAAATTGTAAAGACCATCGATAAAGAAACTGTATCAGCTAATCCAGCAAAATAACCAGCTAACATCATAATAACAGGATCAAATTCACACATAATAATATTAACCTTAATGTAATGGGCTAAATGCTCCAATTAAAGACATGACTGGCAAAATTGACAAAGAGTCAAGACCCATCAGTATCCTGTATTCAGGAGACCCATCTCATGTGCAGAGAGAGACACACAGAGACTCAAATAAAGGGATGATAGATGATCTATCAAGCAAACAGAAACAAAAAAGCAGAGGTTGTAATCCTGTCTCTGATAAAACAGATTTTAAATAAACAAAATCAAAAGAGACAAAGAAGGCCATTACATAATGGTAAAGGGATCAATTCAACAAGAAGAACTAACTATCCTAAATACATAAACACCCAATACAGGAGGCAACTGTGATTCATAAAGCAAAGTCCTTAGAGGACTCACAAAGAGACTTAACTCCCACATAAATAATAATGGGTGACTTTAACACCCCACAGTCAACATTAGACAGATCAACGAAGAAAAAAGTAAGGCATCTCCAGAATTTGAACTCAGTCATACCAAGCGACCTAATAGACATCTACAAATTCTCCACTCCCAAATCAAGAACAAGCATTCTTCTCAGCACCACATCACACTTAATTTAAAAATTGACCACATAGTTGGAAGTAAAGCACTCCACAACAAACAAACGAATGAATTATGTGCAAAACACTGTCTCTCAGACTACAGTGTAATCAAACTAGAACTCAGATTTAAGAACTCAACCCAAAACAACATCAGTGCTGCAAGAATAAACAGCAAAAATCCCAACCACATGGAAGCTGAACAACCTGCTCCTGAATGACTACTGTAATACATAACAAAATGAAGGCAGAAATAAAGATGTTCTTTGAAACCAATGAGCACAAAGACACAACATACCCAGAATCTCTGTACACATTTAAAGCAGTGTGTAGAGGGAATGAGTAGCACTAAATGCCCACAAGCAAGAGAAAGCAGGAAAGATCTAAAATTGACACCCTAACATCACAATTAAAAGAACTAGAGAAGCAAGAGCAAACAGATTCAAAAGTTAGCAGAAAGTGTTGAAATAACTAAGATCAGAGCAGAACTGAAGGAGATAGAGACACAAAAACCTCTTCAAAAAATGAATGAATCCAGGAGCTGGTTTTTGAAAAGATCAACAAAATTGATAGATCACTAGCAAGACTAATAAAGAAGAAAAGAGAGAAGAATCAAATAGACACCATAAAAATGATAAAGCATATCACCACCAATCCTACAGAAATAAAAACTACCATCAGAGAATACTACAAACACTCTTATTACAAACTAGAAAACTGAAGAAATGGATAAATTCTTGGACACATACAATCCCTCCCAAGACTAAACCAGAAGAAGTTGAATACCTGAAGAGACCAATAACAGTAGTGGCCTGAAATTGAGGCAATAATTAATAGCCAACCAACTAAAAAAGTCCAGAGACCAGATGGATTCACAGCCAAATTCTATCAGGAAGTACAAAGAGGAGCTGGTACCATTCCTTCTGAAACTATTCCAATCAATAGAAAAAGAGGGAATCCTCCCTAACTCATTTTATGAGGCCAGCATCATCCTGATACCAAAGCCTGGCAGAGACACAACAAAAAGAGAATTTTAGGACTAATATCTCTGATGGACATCGATGCAAAAGTCCTCACAAAATACTGGCAAACCGAATCCAGCAGCACATCAAAAGTTTATCACCTGTTTCTATCAAGTTGGTTTAACTTTGGATGCAAGGTTGGTTCAACATATGCAAATCAACAAACATAATCCATCATATAAACAGAACCAAAGACAAAAACCACATGATTATGTCGATAGATGCAGAAAAGGCCTTTACAAGTGCACCAACAGCCCTTCATAAAAACTCTCAATAAACTAGGTATTGATGGGATGCATCTCAAAATAATAAGGGCTATTTATGACAAACCCACAGCCAATATCATACTGAATGGGCAAAAACTGGAAGCATTCCCTTTGAAAACTGGCAAAGACAGGGATGCCTCATCTCATCACTCCTATTCAACATAGTGTTAGAAGTTCTGGGCTAGGCAATCAGGTGAGAAAGAAATAAAGGGCATCAATTAGGAAAAGAGGAAGTCAAATTGTCCTCATTTGCAGATGACATGATTGTGTATTTAGAAAATCCTACCTTCCCAGCCTAAAATCTCATTAAGTTGATAAGCAACTTCAGCAAAGTCTCAGGATACAAAATCAATGTGCAAAATCACAAGCAGCCCTATACTACCAATAACAGATAAACAAAGAGCCAAATCATGAATGAACTCCCATTCACAATTGCTACAAACAGAATAAAATACCTAGATATCCAACTTTAAGCAAGGGATGTGAAGGACCTCTTCAAGAAAAAAACTACAAACCACTGTTGCTGAATGAAATAAAGTGGAAGAACATTTGCTGCTCATGGATAGGAAGAATCAATACTGTGAAAATGGCCATACTGCCAAAGGTAATTTATAAATTCAATGTCATCCCCATCGAGCTACCAATGACTTTCTTCACAGAATTGGAAAAAACTACTTAAAGTTCACATGGAACCAAAAGAACCCACATTGCCAAGACAATCCTAAGCAAAAAGAACAAAGCTGAGGCATCACGCTACCTGACTTCAAACTATACTACAAGGCTACAGTAACCAAACAGCATGTCTCTTGTACTAAACTGATATAGACCAATGGAACAGAACAGAGCCCTCAGAAATAATACCACACAACTACAACCATCTGATCTTTGACAAACCTGACAAAATCAAGCAATGGGGAAAGGATTCCTTATTTAATAAATGGTGCTGGGAAACTGGCTAGCCATATGTAGAAAGCTGAAACTGGATCCCTTCCTTACACCTTTTATACAAAAAAATGAATCTTGTAGATGGATTAAAGACTTAAATGTTAGATCTAAACCATAAAACCCTAGAAGAAAACCTAGCAATACCATTCGACACAGGCATGGGCAAGGACTTCATGACTAAAACACCAAAAGCAATGGCAACAAAAGCCAAAATTGACAAATGGGATCTAATCAAACTAAAGAGCTTCTGCACAGTGAAAGAAATGACCATCAGAGGAATATAACCTACAGAATGGGAGAGAAAGCACCTACCCATCTGACAAAGGGCTAATATCCAGAATCTACAAAGAACTTAAACAACTTACAAGAAAAATCAAACAACCCCATCAAAAAGTAGGCAAAGTGATATGAAACTGACACTTCTCAAAAGAAGACATTTAATTTTATGCAGCCACCAGACACATGAAAAATGATCATCATCACTGGCCATCAGAGAAATGCAAATCAAAACTACAATGAGATACCATCTCATACCAGTTAGAAAGATGATCATTAAAAAGTCAGGAACAACAGGTGTTGAGAGGATGTGGAGAAATAGGAACACTTCTACACTGTTGGTGGGATTGTAAACTAGTTCAACCATTGTGGAAAACAGTGTGGCGATCCCCAAGGGTTCAGGAACTAGAAATGTACCTATTTGACCCAGCCATCCCATTCCTGGGTATATATACCCAAGATTAGGGAATCATGCTGCTATAAAGCACATGCACACATATGTTTATTGCAGCACCATTCATAAATAGCAAAGACTTGGAACCAACCCAAATGTCCATCAAGGATAGATTGGATTAAGAAAATGTGGCACATATACACCATGGAATACTATGTAGCCATTAAAAAAGATGAGTTCGTGTTTCGCTCTGCAGCACATATACTAAAATTGGAATGATACAGAGAAGATTACATGGCTCCTTATGCTAAGATGAAGACGAATTCGTGAAGCTGCCCATATTTTTTGTTCTCACTCGTAGGTGGGAACTGAACAATGAGATCACTTGGACTCGGGAAGGGGAACATCACACCGGGGCCTATCATGGGGAGGGGGAGGGGGGGAGGGATTGCATTGGGAGTTATACCTGGATGTAAATGACGCAGCTGATGGGTGCAGCACACCAACATGGCACAGCATACATATAGCAAACCTGCAGAATGCTTGTGCACATGTACCCTACAATTTGAAGTTTAATAATAATAAATAAATTAAAAAAAAAAAAAAAAAAAAAAGATGAGTTCATGTACTTTGTAGGGACATAGATGAAGCTGGAAACCATCATTCTGAGCAAACTGTCACAAGGACAGAAAACCAAACACAGCATGTTCTCATAGGTGGGAATTGAACAATGACAACACTTGGACACAGGGTGGGGAACATCACACACCGGGGCCTGTCATGGGGTGGGGAAGGAGGGAGGGATAGCATTAGGAGATATACCTAATGTAAATGATGAGTTAATGTGTGCTGCACACCAACAAGGCACATGTATACATATGTAACAAACCTGCACGTTGTGCACATATACCCTAGAACTTAAAGTATAATTTTAAAAAATAAATAAAAAATAAATAATTTTCTAAAAGACAATTACAAGGAAGAAAATAAGTATTTCTGTCCCTAGTTCTCCAAAGATTTAAACACTTAAAAAATCCCAAAACATCTCATTTCAAAGTACAGATTTGGGCCGGGCACAGTGGCTCACCTGAGGTTAGGAGTTCAAGACCAGCATGGCCAACATGGCAAAACCCCATCTCTACTAAAAATACAAAAATTAGCCAGGCATGTTGGCACACCTATACTCCCAGCTACTCGGGTGTAGTGGCGCATGCCTGTAATCCCAGCTACTTGGAGGCTGAGACAGGAGAATCACTTGAACCCAGGAGGCGGAGGCTGCAGTGAGATTGTGCCACTGCACTCCAGTCTGGGCGACAGAGCAAGACTCCATCTCAAAAAAAAAAAAGATAGATTTGAAATACAACCTAACTGACCATTCTCTATAGTTAGTTAATAACAAATTAGTAACAAACTTCCTTTCCTTTAAGACACAATGACTTAGGGTTAAAAAGGCTAATTAAGCCTACCTTCTAAAGGGGTAAGTCTCTTTCCTTCTTCCTCTGAGCACAGCAGGAACTAGAACCATCTCTGAGGAAAAAGTCTCACTTGGCCTGTCTCTGGAAGGCTCTAGGCATGATCAATGATGTAAATAAACAGCACCCCACATGCAGGTAGAAATTGTACCCACCAGCTTGCCCTCCCTCTGTGTATGGATGTGGCCCAGTTCTGAAGAATCTTGTAAAGAGACTTATGTATCCATCCAGATTACATATTTCACTATTACTTTATGGACAAAGTTATTCTAACCTGTGCCCACATTTTCTGTTTCTGTTTTAGGCTCCTACACACACACATACACACACACATACACAACTCAGCATTGTAGAAATAAGAGAGCTTAAGATTTACAGCACCTTTTGCCGGGCGCAGCAGCTCACACCTGTAATCCCAGCACTTTGGGAGGCTGAGGTGGGCGATTCATAAGGTCAGGAATTCGAGACCAACCTGCAACATAGTGAAAGGCCATCTCTACTAAAAATACAAAAAATTAGCTGGGCGTGGTGGCAGGCGCCTGTAATCCCAGTTACTTGGGAGGCTGAGGCAGGAGAATCACTTGAACCCAGAAGGCAGAGGTTGCAGTGAGCCGAGATGGCACCACTGCACTTCAGCCTGGGTGGCAGTGCGAGGCTCCATCTCAAAAAAAAAAGATTCATAGCATTTTTTTTTTTTTTTTTTTTTTTTTTTGAGATGGAGTCTCACTCCGTCACCCGGGCTAGAGTGCAGTGGCGCGATCTCGGCTCACAGCAAGCTCCACCTCCCAGGTGCACGCCATTCTCCTGCCTCAGTCTCCCGAGTAGCTGGGACTACAGGTGCCCACCACCACACCCGGCTAATTTTTTGTAGTTGTAGTAGAGACAGGGTTTCACCATGTTAGCCAGGATGGTCTCGATCTCCTGAACTCGTGATCTGCCCGCCTCAGCCTCCCAAAGTGCTGGGATTACAGGCGTGAGCCACTGCGCCGGGCCTATAGCACCTTTTATTTTGTTTTGAGACACCTTGTTCTGTCGCCCAGGCTGGAGTGCAGTGGCACAATCATAGCTCACTGCAACCTCCGCCTCCCAGGTTCAAACAATTCATGTGCCTCAGCCTCCCAAGTAGGTGGGATTACAGGCGTGAATCACCTTGTCCAACCTTTTTTTTTTTTTTTTTAAGGTGGAGTCTCACTCTGAAACCCAGGCTAGAGTGCAATGGCACAATCTCAGCTCACTTAAGGTTCAAGTGATTTTCCTTCTTCAGTCTCCTGAGTAGCCAGGATTACAGGTGCCCGCCACAACGCCTGGCTAATTTTTGTATTTTTAGTAGAGACGGGGGGGTTTTACCATGTTGGCCAGGCTGGTCTCGAACTCCTGACCTCAGGTGATCCACCCGCCTCGGCCTCCCAAAGTGCTCAGATTATTGGTGTAAGCCACCGTGCCTGGCCAGATTTATACCACTTCTAACCAAGCACAGTTACATATGCACAAGTAATGTATAGAGCCCTGTAAGTCTCTCTCTAGTCTAACGCTGGACATAAATACTGAAAATAGTGACAAGTGAATATTAGCAAAGATAGATGAGAAAGAAAATGTACATTTCACCTAAAACCAAAATAATAAAGTAGAAAAAAGGCTTCTTTCAAACTAATATTCCTATAACTTCTCTGGGGAAAAGTATATGCAGTCCGGACAAAATCCAGACTACAGACTTTTCAAGTAAGAGGAAGTGCAGGAAAATTCTATTTCCAAAAGTAAATAAATAAATAAAAAATAAAGTAAAAAAGAAAAAAAACAAACCCCTATTTCTATAAGTGGAAAATAATAGATGTTAATTCTTGGGAAGAAGGGGCATCTGTCAAAGACTAGAAAATGCCATGTGCGTATGCATGCGTGCATGTACACATACCCAACTATGCATGTCCCACCACTCATCAGATAAATAAGCTATTTGAGGACAGGCATGGTGGTTCACACCTGTAATCCCAGCACTTTGGGAGGCCCAGGTATGTGGATCACCTGAGGTCAGAAGTTTGGGACCACCCTGATCAACATAGTGAAATTCCATCTCTACTAATTTTAGTGGTGCACCTATAGTCCCAGCTACTTGGGAGGCTGAAGCAGGAGAATTGCTTGAACCTGGGAGGCAAAGGTTGTAGTAAGCCGAGATCACACCACTGCACACCAGCCTGGGCAACAGAGCAAGATTATGTCTTTAAAAAAAAAAAAAAAAAAAAAAAAGGCAGGTATTCCACAGAGACAAAGCCAAATTTCATTAGACACCAAAATGGGAGGTATAAAGACCAAAATAATTCATACAAGGACCTTATGGTCAGGAAATATTGTCACAGTAGAGGGAACAAGGGGCAAAGGCTGGGATGAAGTAAAAGCCTGAGAAAATATTTTAATAGAAAAAGTGACTGACCTTTATTTTGGAGGAAAAAAAAAGATGATCAAAGGGAAAGGCAGAAAGGCTAATAATTTATTTAGTTCAAAGCCTACGCATTTTCTGGCTGAGCGCAGCGGCCTACTCCTGTAATCCCAACAATTTGGGAGGCTGAGGTGGGTGGATCACCTGAGGTCAGGAGTTCAGGACCTGCCTGGACAATATGGTGAAACCCTGTCTTTACTCAAATATAAAAATTAGCCAGGCACGATGGCGGGCGCCTGTAATCCCAGCTACTCAGGAGGCTGAGGCAGGAAAATCGCTTGAACCCCTGAGACAAAGATTGTAGTGGGCCAAGATCATGCTATTGCACTCCACCTGGGCAACAAGAACAAAACTCCATCTCAAAAATAAATAAACAAACAAAAGCCTATGCATTCTCTGTATAAAGACACCACGCCAATGACAAAACATTGATTCTTAAAAATAAAAATTTAAAAGATGGACAGGTGCGGTGGCTCACGCCAGTAATCCCAGCACTTTGGGAGGCTGAGGTGGGTGGATCGAGAGGTCAGGAGTTCAAGACCAGCCTGGCCAAGATGGTGAAACCTCGTTTCTACTAAAAATACAAAAGTTAGCCAGGCATGGTGGTGGACGCCTGTAATCCCAGCTACTCAGGAGGCTGAGGCAGGAGAATTGCAATTGCTTGAACCCAGGAGGCAGAGGCTACAGTGAGCTGAGATCGTGCCACTGCACTCCAGCCTGGGTAAGAGTGAGACTCTGTCTCCAAAAAAAAAAAAAAAAAAATTAAAAAGGCTGGACACAGTGGCTCATGCCTGTAATCCCAACACTTTGGGAAGTCAGGGCAGGAGGATCACTTGAGGCCAGGAGTTTGAGAACAGACTGGGCAACATAGTGAGACCCTGTCTCTATAAAAAACTAAAAAATCAGCTGGGCATGGTGGTGCATGTCCGCAGACCCAGCTACTCAGGAAGGTGAAGTGGAAGTATTTTGAGCCTAGAGCGTCAAGGCTGCAGTGAATTGTGATTATATCACTGCACTCCAGCCAACAGAGCGAGACTGTGTCTTGAAAATACAATAAAATAAAACAAATGATAATAAATAAAATGCTAGCATATTATAAAAGTATAAATTAAAAAGACACTGTGCCAGCCACTATGATGCACAAATATAAGCATCAAATAAAAGAACTCAGATAAGAACAAAAAGCAGTAAGACTATTTGACTCAAAAATAGAGAGAATTAGGCCAGGCACAGTGGCTCATGCCTGTAATCCCAGCACTTTGGGAGGCCAAGGCGGGTGGACCATGAGGTCAGGAGTTCAAGACCAGCCTGGCCAACATGGTAAAACCCCATCTCTACTAAAAATACAAAAATTAGCTGGGCATGGTGGCAGGCGCCTGCAATCCCAGCTACTTGGGAGACTAAGGCAGAAGAATTGCTCAAACCCAGAAGGCAGAGGCTGCA